TGTCTATGTGTGTGTCTATGTGTGTGTGTGTCTGTGTGTGTGTGTGTGTCTATGTATGTGTCTGTGTGTGTGTCTCTCTACCTGTGTCTGTGTCTGTGTGTGTGTGTCTCTGTGTGTGTGTCTGTGTGTGTGTCTATGTGTCTGTGTGTGTATGTGTGTGTGTGTGTCTGTGTGTGAGTGTCTCTGTGTCTATGTGTGTGTCTGTGTGTGAGTGTCTCTGTGTCTATGTGTGTGTCTATGTGTGTGTCTGTGTGTGTGTGTGTGTCTATGTGTGTGTGTGTCTGTGTGTGTGTGTGTCTATGTGTGTGTGTCTCTTAACCAGTTTAACAGCAGAGGTCTCACTCCGAATCAGTCGAGCGGCAATATCTTTTCATCGGTTGCGTAACGCTGTGTGGAAGCTACCTGGTCTGTCGCTCCGCACTAAGCTTCAGGTCTTCTCGGCCACGGTCATTCCCTCCCTTCTCTACGCTTGCGAAACGTGGACCCCCCTAATGGAACATCTTCGCCGGTTAGAAACATTTAGGCTGGCCTGCCTACGATCCATCCTGGGTTTAACCAGACTGGATTGTGTGAGGAGCTCACAAATCCTTGAAAGATCTGGGCAGAGTCCCATCGGTGAGTTCCTCCGGCAGGCAAGGCTGCGATGGCTGGGTCATGTAGCCCACATGCCCAGCCACCGCATGCCGAAACAGCTTTTGTTTGGCCGGATTGAGGGGGCTAAGCGGGCACGGCACGGGCTAGAGAAGAGATGGAGTGACGTGGTACAGGAGGACGTGGAGCTGAGTGGACTTGCCGATGACTGGTACCAGCGGTGTCAAGATCGGCCTCTGTGGAGGAGGCTCGTGAAGGACGCTACTGGGCAGTTGGAGGCAGTCGCCCTCCAACAACAACGGAGGGCGGAGGAGCGACGCTCACAACAGCGAGCGGAGCGCCGGGTGGCTAAAGCACAGCAGGTTGGCACAGTAGGGGGCACAGGTGGTGCATCAGCCAGTCATCTGAGTCAGTCGACCCGTGGCACCTGGGTCTGCCCCGTGACCTCCTGCCAGCGGGCGTTCGACACTTCACGTGGCCTCAGGGTGCACATAGCCTGGCACAAGTGTCGTGGTGACATCACCGCCACTTAGTGGCGAATGGCGGTTGTTGTTGTTGTTGTTGTGTCTGTGTGTGTGTCTGTGTGTGTGTCTGTGTGTGTGTCTGTGTCTGTGTGTGTGTGTCTGTGTGTGTGTGTCTCTCTACCTGTGTCAGTGTCTGTCTGTGTGTCTGTCTATGTGTTTGTGTGTGTGTGTGTCTGTGTGTGTGTCTGTGTGTCTGTGTCTGTGTGTGTGTGTCTCTCTACCTGTGTCAGTGTCTGTCTGTGTGTCTGTCTATGTGTGTGTCTATGTGTTTGTCTGTGTGTGTGTGTCTCTGTGTGTGTGTCTCTGTGTGTGTGCCTCGGTGTGTGTGTCTGTCTGTGTGTCTCTGTGTGTGTGTCTATGTGTCTGTGTGTGTGTGTCTGTGTGTGTGTCTCTCTGTGTGTGTGTCTCTCTACCTGTGTCTGTGTCAGTGTGTCTGTGTGTCTCTGTGTCTGTCTGTGTGTGTCTCTGTGTGTGTGTCTATGTGTGTGTCTCTCTACCTGTGTCAGTGTGTGTGTCTCTCTCTGTGTGTGTCTGTGTGTGTGTCTCTCTACCTGTGTCAGTGTGTGTCTGTGTGTGTGTGTCTGTGTGTGTGTGTCAGTGTCTGTGTGTGTCTGTGTGTGTGTCTCTCTACCTGTGTCAGTGTGTGTCTGTGTGTCTCTGTGTGTGTGTGTCTGTGTGTGTCTGTGTGTGTGTCTCTGTGTGTGTCTCTCTGTGTGTCTGTGTGTGTGTCTGTGTGTGTGTGTCTGTGTGTGTGTCTGTGTGTGTGTGTGTCTCTGTGTGTGTCTCTCTGTGTGTCTGTGTGTGTGTCTGTGTGTGTGTCTGTGTGTGTGTGTCTCTGTGTCTCTGTGTGTGTGTGTTTGTGTGTGTGTCTGTCTGTGTGTCTCTGTGTGTGTCTCTGTTTGTGTGTCTCTGTCTTTGTCTCTGTCTCTCCGTGTCTCTCCCACCCAGTGTCTCTCTCCCCCCGTGTCTATCTCCCCGCGTCTCTCCCCGTGTCTCTCCCTGTGTCTCTCACCATGTGTCTCTCCCTCCCCGTGTCTCTCTCTCCCCGTGTCTGTCCACGTGTCTCTCTCACCCCGTGTCTCTCACCCCGTGTCTCTCCCGTGTCTCTCTCACCCCGTGTCTCTCCCCCCGTGTCTCTCTCTCTCACCCCGTGTCTCTCTCTCCCCGTGTCTCTCTCTCCCCGTGTCTCTCTCTCCCCGTGTCTCTCTCTCCCCGTGTCTCTCTCTCCCCGTGTCTCTCTTCCTGTGTCTCTCTCTCCCCGTGTCTCTCTCTCCTCGTGTCTCTCTCTCCCCGTGTCTCTCTCTCTCCCCGTGTCTCTCTCTCTCCCCGTGTCTCTCTCTCCCCGTGTCTCTCTCTCCCCGTGTCTCTCTCCCCGTGTCTCTCTCTCTCCCCATGTCTCTCTCCCCGTGTCTCTCACCGTGTCTCTTTCCCCGTGTCTCTCTCTCCCCGTGTCTCTCTCTCTCTCCCCGTGTCTCTCTCTCTCTCCCCATGTCTCTCTCTCCCCGCGTGTCTCTCTCTCTCCCCGTGTCTCTCTCTCCCCGTGTCTCTCTCTCTCCCCGTGTCTCTCTCCCTCCCCGTGTCTCTCTCCCCGTGTCTCTCTCTCCCCGTGTCTCTCCCCCCGTGTCTCTCTCCCCGTGTCTCTCTCTCTCCCCGCGTCTCTCTCCCCGTGTCTCTCTCTCCCCGCGTCTCTCTCCCCGTGTCTCTCTCTCCTCGTGTCTCTCCCTCCCCGTGTCTCTCCCTCCCCGTGTCTCTCTCTCCATGTCTCTCTCTCCCCGTGTCTCTCACCATGTCTCTTTCCCGTGTCTCTCTCTCTCCTCGTGACTCTCACCGCGTCTCTCCCCGTGTCTCTCTCTCCCCGTGTCTCTCTCTCTCTCACGTGTCTCACCGTGTCTCTCTCACCGTGTCTCTCTCACCGTGTCTCTCTCTCCCCATGTCTCTCTCTCCCCGTGTCTCTCTCTCTCCCCGTCTCTCTCTCTCTCCCCGTGTCTCTCTCTCTCCCCGTCTCTCTCTCTCCCCGTGTCTCTCTCTCTCTCACCGTGTCTCTCTCTCCCCTTGTCTCTCTCTCCCCGTGTCTCTCTCTCTCCCCGTGTGTCTCTCTCTCCCCGTGTCTCTCTCTCTCCCCGTGTCTCTCTCCCCGTGTCTCTCTCCCCGTGTCTCTCTCTCCCCGTGTCTCTCTCCGTGTCTCTCTCTCCCGTATCTCTCTCTCCCGTGTCTCTCTCACGTGTCTCTCTCTCCCCGTGTCTCTCTCCTCTCCGTGTCTCTCTCTCCCGTGTCTCTATCTCTCTCGTGTCTCTCTCTCCCGTGTCTCTCTCACTCTCCCCGTGTCTCTCTCCCCGTGTCTCTGCTCTCCGTGTCTCTCTCCGTTCTCTATCTCTCTCCGTGTCTCTCTCTCGGTCTCTCTCAGTGTCTCTCTCTCCCCGTGTCTCTCTCTCCCGTGTCTCTCTCTCTCCCGTGTCTCTCTCTCTCCAGTGTCTCTCTCCTCCCCGTGTCTCTCTCTCCCGTGTCTCTCTCCCCGTGTCTCTCTCCCGTGTCTCTCTCTCTCCCCGTGTCTCTCTCTCTCTCACCGTGTCTCTCTCTGCTCCGTGTCTCTCTCACCCGTGTCTCTCTCTCTCCCGTGTCTCTCTCACCCCGTTGTCTCCTCTCTCACCCCGTGTCTCTCTCTCTCCCCGTGTCTCTCTCCCCGTGTCTCTCTCTCCCCGTATCTCTCTCTCTCCCCGTGTCTCTCTCTCCCCGTGTCTCTCTCTCTCTCCCCGTGTCTCTCTCTCTCCCCGTGTCTCTCCCTGTGTCTCTCACCATGTCTCTCTCCCTGTATCTCTCCCCGTGTCTCTCTCCCCGTGTCTCTCTCCCCGTCTCTCTCTCCCCGTGTCTCTCTCTCCCCGTGTCTCTCTCCTCGTGTCTCTCTCTCCCCGTGTCTCTCTCTCTCCCCGTGTCTCTCTCTCTCTCCCCGTGTCTCTCTCTCCCCGTGTCTCTCTCTCCCCGTGTCTCTCTCTCCCCGTGTCTCTCTCTCTCCCCGTGTCTCTCTCTCCCCATGTCTCTCTCTGCCCGTGTCTCTCCCCGTGTCTCTCCCCGTGTCTCTCACCGTGTCTCTTTGCCCGTGTCTCTCTCTCTCTCTCAGTGTCTTTCTCTCCCTGTGTCTCTCTCTCTCCCTGTGTCTCTCCCCCCGTGTCTCCCTCTCTCCCCATTTCTCTCTCTCTTCCCGTGTCTCTCTCCCCGTGTCTCTCTCTCCCCGTGTCTCTCTCTCTCTCCCCGTTTCTCTCTCTCTCCCCATGTCTCTCTCCCCGTGTCTCTCTCCCCGTGTCTCTCTCCCCGTGTCTCTCTCCCCATGTCTCTCTCCCCGTGTCTCTCTCCCCGTGTCTCTCTCTCCCCGTGTCTCTCTCTCCCCGTGTCTCTCTCTCCCCCCGTGTCTCTCTCTCTCCCCGTGTCTCTCTCTCTCCCCGTGTCTCTCTCTCTCCCCGTGTCTCTCTCTCTCTCCCCGTGTCTCTCCCCCCGTGTCTCTCTCCCCGTGTCTCTCTCTCTCCCCGTGTCTCTCTCTCTCCCCGTATCTCTCTCTCCCCGTGTCTCTCCCCCCGTGTCTCTCTCCCCGTGTCTCTCTCTCTCTCCGTGTCTCTCTCTCTCCCCGTGTCTCTCCCCCCGTGTCTCTCTCCGTGTCTCTCTCTCTCCGTGTGTCTCTCTCTCTCCCCGTGTCTCTCCCTGTGTCTCTCCTCGTGTCTCTCTCTCTCCCCGTGTCTCTCTCTCTCACCCCCGTGTCTCTCTCACCCCCCGTGTCTCTCTCACCCCGTGTCTCTCTCTCTCTCACCGTGTCTCTCCCTGTGTCTCTCCCCGTGTCTCTCCCTGTGTCTCTCCCCGTGTCTCTCTCTCCCCGTGTCTCTCTCTCACCCCCCGTCCCCCGCCAGGCGCTCCGCCCGCGGCGGCAGCGTCAGTGACTGCAGCGATGCCACGACCTCGTCGGAGCTCGACGACCTCTCCTCAACCACCGCCAACAACAACAACAACAGCAGCAGCAACAACAGCAACAACAACAACCACCACCACCACCACCTGCTCCTCCTTGAGGAGGCCCGTCGCCACGGAGCCGCCGCCGCAGCCGCCGCCGCCGCCGCCTCTTCGTCGTCCGTCGCCGCCTCCTCCTCTGCCTCCACCGCCTCAGCAGCCACCGCCGCCGCTCCTCCGTCGTCGTCGTCGGCGGCGTCCGCCGCGATGCTGCCCCCCCAGCCGCTGACGCAGTCCCTCGGCCACCACGGCCACCACCACCACCACCCCCACCACGGCCACCACCACCACCACCACCACGGCCACCATCACGGTGGCAGCCAGCAGCAGCAGCAGCAGCCTCAGCAGCAGCAGCCTCAGCACTTCCCGTTTCACTTCGGCGTCGCCGGGAGCCTGGGCCCGGTGTTCCGTTCCTTCCTCCCTTCCTCGTCCTCCTCCACCTCCTCCTCCACCTCCTCCTCGTCGTCCTCCTCCTCGTCGTCCTCGCGGCTCCTCTCGGCACCCCCCTCCTCCTCCTCCTCCTCCTCCTCGGCCGCCGTTGGCAGCCACCCGCACCACAACAGCAGCAACAGCAGCAGCAGCAACAATCATCTGCATCACCACCACCAGCAGCAGCAGCAGCAGCAGCAGCGGGCCGCCGATCCCCTCAGCCCCTTCTCGCCGCCGCTGCCCGCCGGCTCGCTGCCCTTCTCGCCGCCATCGCCGTCGACGCTCTGCAGCCCCATCGGCGGAGCCCTCGGCCCTCCCTCAGGAGGCGGCGGAGGCGGCCACTTCTCGTTCTCGGCGGAGGATCTCAAGCGGTACCTGGAGGCGCACGCGAGGTCCGTTTACAACTACCACCTCTCCCCGCGGACGTTCCCCCACTACCCCCTGCACGCCTCTCTGGCCGCCTCCTGGGGCGGAGGAGGAGGAGGCGGAGGAGGTGGAGGAGGAGGAGGAGGAGGAGGAGGAGGAGGAGGTGGAGGATTGTTGGTCGTGCCCCAGCCTCAGCGAATCGGGGGGCCGGCCGGAGGGGGCGGCGGCGGTGGAGGTGGAGGACTCCTCCTGCCGGGGGGCTCCGGCTCCGCCATGCCCCTGTCCCCGGCGTTTCACCACCACCACCACCAGCAGCAGCAGCAGCAGCAGAACCTGTTGCACTTTCTGTCGCTGCAGCAGCAGCATCATCATCAGCAGCAGCAGCAGCATTATCAGCAGCTGCACCACCAGCTGCAGCATCATCAGCATCATCATCATCATCAGCGGCAGCAGCAGCGGCGGCAAGAGCCTGAGGACTTGGATGACGAGGGAGAATCCGGTTTCAAATTCAAACTCCAACCACCGCCCTTGGGACGCAAGGGGAAGATGGCCGCCGCGGCTGCGGCCGCGGCTGCCGCGGCTGCCGCGGCCGCAGCCTCAGCCGCAGCCTCCGTCGATGATGACGATGACGCTGATGGCGGTGGTGGCGGAGGAGAAGCAGGCCGGGGGGTTACCACGGCGACGGGAGCCGGAGGGGGAATCCGCGGTGAGCCGTCCGCGGTTTCGCGGCCGTTGCCCTCCCCCCCGCGCCACCACCGCCACCACCGCCTCCACCACCGCCCGTCGTCGTCATCGTCATCGTCGTCGTCGTCCCCGGGGGGTGGCGACGATGATGACGTCACCACCACCGTGGAGGTGACGGACATCAGCGATGAGGAGCCGGAGTTGGCTCCGGACGAGCTGGACGACGTCGAGGAGGACGTCGAGGAGGAGGAGGACGAGGAGGACGACGATGTGTTCGGAGCGACGGAGACGGAGACGTCGGCGGCGTCCATCGGGAGCGGGGAGCCTCGCGGGGCAAACCGGAATCCCGCGGGGGCGGGCGGCGACCAGGAGGAGGAGGAGGAGGAGAGGGGCAGATGTCGAGACGGAGGCGGTGTCGAGATTCCGTTTGGGGCGTCGTCATCATCGTCATCGTCGCCGCGTTTGGGCGTAGCCGCGTCAGCAGCAGCAGCAACAACAACAACGACAACACTAGCAACAGCAACAACAACAACAACATCACTAGCAACAGCAACAACAACAACATCACTAGCAACAACAGCAACGACATCACTAGCAACAGCAACAACAACAACGTCACTAGCAACAGCAACAACAGCAACAACAACGTCAGCAACAACAACAACAGCAGCAGCGGCGGCCTTCGGCAGCGACGGCCGGGGGGCGTCGGCCTCCGCCCGGGGCCACCTCCCCCGGGGTCGCTCGCTGAGCGAGGCCTGCGGGGGGCCCCGGGGCCTGGCCCCGGGGCCTGGCCGCCGGGACGGCGTCGAGGGGAGGCCGCGGAGCCGGGCGGGAGGGGGCGAGCGCGGGGAGGCGAGCGCGGGGAGGAGCGGCAGTGGCGCCGGGCGCTCGCGAGGGGGACAGGGCGGCATTCGGGAGGCCGCGGGTGGTGGCGGCGGAGGCGGTGGAGGCGGTGGAGGCGGTGGTGGCGGTGGTGGAGGCGGTGGTGGAGGCGGCGGAGGCGGTGGTGGAGGCGGCGGAGGCGGTGGAGGCGGTGGTGGCGGAGGCGGCGGAGGAGGCGGTGGTGGAGGCGGCGGAGGCGGTGGTGGAGGCGGTGGAGGCGGTGGTGGCGGAGGCGGCGGAGGAGGCGGTGGTGGAGGCGGCGGAGGCGGTGGTGGAGGCGGTGGAGGCGGTGGTGGAGGCGGCGGCCGTGCTCTTGGGGAGAGTGAGGGCCGCTTTGTCCGCCGGCTGGAAGCGGAATCCCGTGGACAGGAAGCGGACCCCCGTGGACAGGAAGCGGACCCCCGTGGACAGGAAGCGGACCCCCGTGGACAGGAAGCGGACCCCCGTGGACAGGAAGCGGACCCCCGTGGACAGGAAGTGGACCCCCGTGGACAGGAAGCGGACCCCCGTGGACAGGAAGTGGACCCCCGTGGACAGGAAGTGACATCTCCCGGGGGCCTGATGCCGCTGAAGATGCGCCTCAAGCGGCGCTGGAGCGAGGGCCGGCCCCCGCCCTCCCCCCGCGCCCTGCCCCCCCTCCCCTCCCATCACCACGGCGACAAGAAGGCGCGTCCCGATTGGCCGGGGCCCCGAGTGGGCGTGGCGGCGGCGGCAGCGCCCGTAGCCCCCCGGGACGACGGCCAATCGGAGGAGGAGGAGGAGGAGGCGGCTGCAGCTTTCGGGGGTGCGGGTCCCGGCCAATCGGCGGTGGCGGCAGGAGCTTTTGGGGCGGAGCCTGCCGTGGATACCGACCAATCGGAGGAGGCCGGGGCGGGCACGGAGAGCGGCCAATCGGATTGCGAGGAGAGCCCGGGTCGGCGAATCAGCTCGGAGCTTCAGAGGGCCACGGCGGAGCTGAGGTTGGGAGGAGATGATGGCTGAGAGACACGGGGAAAGAGACACGGAGAGAGACACGGAGAGAGACACGGGGAGACACGGAGAGAGACACGGGGAGAGAGAGACACGGAGAGAGACACGGGGAGAGAGACACGGAGAGAGAGACACGGAGAGAGAGACACGGGGAGAGAGAGAGACACGGAGAGAGAGAGAGACACGGGGAGAGAGACACGGGGAGAGACACGGGGAGAGAGAGACACGGGGAGAGAGAGAGACACGGGGAGAGAGACACGGGGAGAGAGAGACACGGGGAGAGAGAGACACGGGGAGAGACACGGGGAGAGAGAGACACGGGGAGAGAGAGAGACACGGGGAGAGACACGGGGAGAGAGAGAGACACGGGGAGAGAGAGACACGGAGAGAGAGACACGGGGAGAGAGACACGGGGAGAGAGAGACACGGGGAGAGAGACACGGGGAGAGAGAGACACGGGGAGAAAGACACGGAGAGAGAGACACGGGGAGAGAGAGACGGGGAGAGAGACACGGGGAGAGAGAGACGGGGAGAGAGACACGGGGAGAGAGACACGGGGAGTGAGACACGGGGAGAGACACGGGGAGAGAGAGACACGGGGAGAGAGAGAGACACGGAGAGAGAGAGAGAGACACGGGGAGAGAGAGACATGGGGAGAGAGAGAGACACGGAGAGAGAGAGAGAGACACGGGGAGAGAGAGAGACACGGAGAGAGAGAGAGACACGGAGAGAGAGAGAGAGACATGGGGAGAGAGAGAGACACGGAGAGAGAGAGAGAGACACGGGGAGAGAGAGACACGGGGAGAGAGAGAGACACGGAGAGAGAGAGAGAGACACGGGGAGAGAGAGAGACACGGAGAGAGAGACACGGAGAGAGACACGGGGAGAGACACGGGGAGAGAGAGAGACACGGGGAGAGAGAGACACGGAGAGAGACACGGGGAGAGACACGGAGAGAGAGAGACACGGGGAGAGAGACACGGAGAGAGACACGGAGAGAGACACGGAGAGAGACACGGGGAGAGAAACACGGGGAGAGAGACACGGAGAGAGACACGGGGAGAGAGAGACACGGGGAGAGAGAGACACGGGGAGAGACACGGAGAGAGAGACACGGAGAGAGAGAGACACGGAGAGAGACACGGGGAGAGAGACACGGGGAGAGAGACGGGGAGAGAGAGAGACACGGGGAGAGACACGGAGAGAGAGAGACACGGGGAGAGAGACGGGGAGAGATAGAGACACAGAGAGAGACACGGAGAGAGAGACACGGGGAGAGACACGGAGAGAGACACGGGGAGAGAGAGAGACACGGGGAGAGAGACACGGGGAGAGAGACACGGGGAGAGAGAGAGACACGGGGAGAGAGAGAGACACGGGGAGAGAGAGACACGGGGAGAGACACGGGGAGAGAGAGACACGGAGAGAGAGACACGGGGAGAGACACGGGGAGAGAGACACGGGGAGATAGACACGGGGAGATAGACACGGGGAGAGACACGGAGAGAGACACGGGGAGAGACACGGGGAGAGAGAGACACGGAGAGAGAGAGACACGGGGAGAGACACGGAGAGAGACACGGGGAGAGAGAGAGACACGGGGAGAGAGAGACACAGGGAGAGAGACACGGGGAGAGAGACACGGGGAGAGACACGGGGAGAGAGACACGGGGAGAGAGAGACACAGAGAGAGAGAGACACGGGGAGAGAGACACGGGGAGAGAGACACGGGGAGAGAGAGAGACACGGGGAGAGAGACACGGAGAGAGAGACACGGAGAGAGAGACACGGGGAGAGAGACACGGGGAGAGAGAGACACGGGGAGAGAGAGACACGGGGAGAGAGAGACACGGGGAGAGAGACACGGGGAGGGAGAGACACGGGGAGAGAGAGAGACACGGGGAGAGACACGGGGAGAGACACGGGGAGAGAGAGAGACACGGGGAGAGAGAGACATAGGGAGAGTCACGGTGAGAGACACGGGGAGAGAGACACGGGGAGATAGACACACGGGGAGAGAGAGAGACACGGAGAGAGAGACACGGGGAGAGAGACACGGGGAGAGAGAGACACGGAGAGAGAGAGAGAGACACGGAGAGAGAGACACGGAGAGAGAGACACGGGGAGAGAGAGACACGGGGAGAGAGAGACACGGAGAGAGAGACACGGGGAGAGAGAGAGACACGGGGAGAGACACGGGGAGAGAGAGACACGGGGGAAGAGAGACACGGGGAGAGAGACACGGGGAGAGAGACACGGGGAGAGAGAGAGACACGGGGAGAGACACGGGGTGAGAGAGACACGGGGAGAGAGAGACACGGGGAGAGAGACACGGGGAGAGAGAGAGACACGGGGAGAGAGAGAGACACGGGGAGAGACACGGGGAGAGACACGGGGAGAGACACGGGTAGAGACACGGAGAGAGAGAGACACGGGGAGAGACACGGGGAGAGAGAGAGACATGGAGAGAGACACGGAGAGAGACACGGAGAGTGAGAGAGACACGGAGAGAGACACGGAGAGAGACACGGGGAGAGACACGGAGAGAGAGAGACACGGGGAGAGACACGGGGAGAGACACGGGGAGAGAGAGACACGGGGAGAGAGAGACGGGGAGAGAGAGACACGGGGAGAGACACGGGGAGAGAGAGAGACACGGAGAGAGACACGGGGAGAGACACGGGGAGAGAGAGACACGGGGAGAGAGAGACGGGGAGAGAGAGACACGGGGAGAGACACGGGGAGAGAGAGACACGGAGAGAGACACGGAGAGAGACACGGGGAGAGAGAGACACGGGGAGACACAGGGAGACACGGGGAGACACAGAGAGAGAGAGAGACACGGGGTGAGACGCGGGGAGAGAGAGACACGGGGAGAGACACGGGGAGAGAGAGACACGGAGAGAGACACGGAGAGAGACACGGGGAGAGAGAGACACGGGGAGAGAGACACGGAGAGAGAGAGACACGGAGAGAGACACGGGGAGAGAGACACGGAGAGAGAGAGACACGGGGAGAGAGACACGGAGAGAGAGAGAGACACGGGGAGAGACACGGGGAGAGAGAGACACGGAGAGAGACACGGAGAGAGACACGGGGAGAGAGACACGGGGAGAGAGACACGGGGAGAGAGAGACACGGGGAGAGAGACACGGGGAGAGAGACACGGGGAGAGAGACACGGGGAGAGACACGGGGAGAGACACGGAGAGAGACACGGAGAGAGACACGGAGAGAGACACGGGGAGAGAGAGATGGAGAGAGACACGGGGAGAGAGACACGGGGAGAGAGAGACACGGGGAGAGACACGGGGAGAGAGAGACACGGGGAGATAGACACGGGGAGAGAGAGAGAGACACGGAGAGAGAGACACGGAGAGAGACACGGAGAGAGACACGGAGAGGGAGAGAGACACGGAGAGGGAGAGAGACACGGGGAGAGAGACACGGGGAGAGACACGGGGAGAGAGACACGGGGAGAGAGACACGGGGAGAGAGACACGGGGAGAGAGAGAGAGACACGGGGAGAGAGAGACACGGGGAGAGAGAGACACGGGGAGAGAGACACGGGGAGAGACACGGGGAGAGAGACACGGGGAGAGAGACACGGGGAGAGAGAGAGAGACACGGGGAGAGAGAGACACGGGGAGAGAGACACGGGGAGAGACACGGGGAGAGAGAGAGACATGGAGAGAGAGAGACATGGAGAGAGAGAGACACGGGGAGAGAGACACGGGGAGAGACACGGGGAGAGAGAGACACGGAGAGAGACACGGGGAGAGAGAGACACGGGGAGAGAGAGACACGGGGAGAGAGAGAGAGACACGGGGAGAGAGAGACACGGGGAGAGAGAGAGACACGGAGAGAGACACGGGGAGAGAGAGAGACACGGGGAGAGAGAGACACGGAGAGTGAGAGAGACACGGAGAGAGAGAGAGACACGGGGAGAGAGACACGGGGAGAGATAGAGACACGGAGAGAGAGAGAGACACGGAGAGAGACACGGAGAGAGAGACACGGGAGAGAGAGACACGGGGAGAGAGAGACACGGGGAGAGAGAGACACGGGGAGAGAGAGACACGGAGAGAGACACGGAGAGTGAGAGAGACACGGAGAGAGACACGGGGAGAGAGAGAGACACGGAGAGAGAGAGACACAGAGAGGGAGAGAGACACGGAGAGTGAGAGAGACACGGAGAGAGACACGGGGAGAGAGAGAGACACGGGGAGAGAGAGACACGGGGAGAGACACGGAGAGTGAGAGAGACACGGGGAGAGAGAGACACGGAGAGTGAGATAGAGACACGGAGAGTGAGAGACACGGGGAGAGAGACACGGAGAGTGAGAGAGACACGGGGAGAGAGACACACGGAGAGTGAGACACGGAGAGAGAGAGAGACACGGGGAGAGAGAGACACGGGGAGAGATAGAGACACGGGGAGAGACATGGAGAGAGAGAGACACAGAGAGAGAGAGACACGGGGAGAGAGACACGGAGAGTGAGAGAGACACGGGGAGAGAGAGACACGGAGAGAGAGAGACACGGAGAGAGAGAGACACGGAGAGAGAGAGACACG